ATCACCATATATTTCCACTTTTCATCACTAGTACAAATGTTTACATTGTGCCATAAATGTAGCCAATGATTTCAGAGTTCTCTCACTTAAAAAAAAAAAGAAAAAGAATTAAAAATAATTTTAAACCATAGAAAAATAAATAGTTACACATTCAAGAGTGAGGAGAAAAAGGACTTTTGTGCTGAGTTGACAGAGTATGTCTGTACATAAAATACACAAGGTCTTTACTTCATTTAATTAATTCTGACAAGAAACACAGATAATTCAGGAATAACAAATGACAATACAACCAGGAGCACCCTGTATAGCTTCTGGCTAAATTAATTCATGTCATGACTATATTGAGTGTCTACTGTGTCATTTCAGGGGCATTTGACATTTTGGGTTGTCACAACTAGAGGTGGGGGAGCTACTGGCATCTAACGGGTAGAGACGAAGGATCTGCTAGACATTGTACAACGACCAGATATCCCCTCACAACGAAGAATTATCTATCCGAAATGTCAGCAGTGCAGAGGCTGAGAAACCATTGTAACTGGACATCTCTGCAGTGTTTCATTTTCCTGACCAGCCTTTCTTTTTTCATATTTTTGCCTCCTTTAGTTTCCTTGATATGCTTTCTCGTTCCTTTACTTATTGTCTTGCCATGGCTACTGTTCCTCACTTTCCTTTCCTGGCTTCCTATTTCATTTCACTTCATTTCATTTCATTCAATTCCTTTAAAACTGGTTCTTTCTTTATTTTGTCATAATCCTCTATACCCTCCTCTTTCTTGAGTGAACACCCCCAATCCTTTAGCTTCACTATTACCTAATAAAACTAATTCCCTGGAGAATATTTCTAGCTCTGACCTGTTCTTACAGCTCAGGCCTGCATTACAAGCTTCCTTCCAAATATTATCAACTTGGTGCTCCACAAGCACCATACACAGCATATCCAAAATAAACTCATCTTCCCCCGAAACTGTTCCTTCTCCTTTTAACAGCTAAAAGGAGTAAGCTAAAAACCTCAAATTGCCCTTTAGCTCTTCTTTTTCCCTCGCCTCCTTTATAAGATTACCTATTTGGTGTTTCAACTTGGCTATATTCATTCATTCAACAAATATTTATTGAGCCCTACTTTGTGCCTGGCATTTTGCTAGATGTGTCACATACAACAGTTGACAATACTCATGAAGCCTCCAATTTCCAGCCTAAGAAAGTAATAAGTGCTGTGAGGGGTCAGTTAACAGGTGCTGTGGGAAACTTATATGAGAGGTGTATTACTAGATTAGGGGCTGGGGGTGGAGGGGAAGGTGGTCAGGGAAGGCTTCCTGGAGGAAATGGCATGTATTTTGCAATCTGTGTTATCTGGCTAAATAAATAAATAAAGGTGGAAAGAGACTTCCAAGCAGAAGAGAAAAGCCTGGGCTGTCTGTGAAATTAAAATAATTTTGTTGAGAATGGAAGAGGGCTGTAAAGAAAAATGAAACTGGAGGTAAGCAAGTGCAGGGCCTGTGAATTATTTGAAGGAGTTTGAACCAAAATCATAATAAAGAAACATACATTACTTTAGAAGGGAATAAGGGATAAGGTAAAAAGACAAAAAGCAGAGCAAGGAGGACTGTGAGTGCTGGGTATTTAGGGGTTCTCAGGGGAGATATTTGGGTGGAGACAGACTCAAGAGTCATGAACAGGTAGATGTAACTGGGACCAGGGAAAGGAGTTAGTGGACAGGACGCTAAAAAGAAAAAGTGAAGAAAGAACAATTTTAAGAGCATGAGGTCCTTAAGGAGGCAGGGGAGGATGCGATCCAAGCAGAGGGGCTGAACTTCTAAAGGTCACCTTTCACACTGCAGCAAAAAAGTAATAGTAAGAGATGGGGCAGGTGCAAGTCAGTTAATAGGCTTATTGGAAGGGACTTCAAGAAATTTTCAACTCAAGGTTTTAATGTTTTCTACAAATTATTGAAAGGTTATCTACTCATATTGAGGGTGACTGGCAGGGTTAGAAATTTGAGAAGATTTGAAATGAATGTGATGGACAATTAAAGAGGGAGGATTGACAGATATACAGGCCTATTGGAAGATCCTGTTGAAGGTTCCTCTTGGGAGGTTGTGCTAGATTCTCAAGCCTGGGTTAACGGTCCCCTGAATCCCATCAGAGCACTTATCACCTTACATGTTTATCCCATTTACTTCTCTGTGTCTCCCACTGCTTGAGACCCTTGAAGCTAGGGAATGTGTCTGTTTGGTCAATTCCCATTTACTGACATACAGTAAATGTTCCATAGATATTTGTTAAATGAAAGGACAGACACATACATGAATAATAGTTAAAGAGGTGTTATATCTAGGGGACAAGAGAGAGATCACCAGGGTGACCCTAGGTAGGTTTGCCTGGGACAGTACAAATTCCCACCTATTATTCTGGCATAATTATTAATAGCACTCTGTGTTAACTCACAAAAATATCCTATTTGGTATGATAAGTGATATGGTCACCCCAGTGATTACATAAGACTTAAATGGTCAGGAGAAATTTGAGGAAAAAGTAGAATCTGATTTTTCCTGGTTATAAAAATGGGATAAGCAAGCAAGGAATCAGTCCTTTCGTCCCGATGAATAAATGGTTCCTATGTGTTGGCTCCACAACCAAGCTATAAAAGCCTTCTAAGGAGGTATCATTCAGTTGGCTGGAACTTCAGTTATTATGACATGGGCTGCATGACTATATCCCACTTAAACCTTGAGGAAGCTTCACACTTCTAAACTAAGAAATTCAGGAGAAAATTGGGAGCCATGGATATGATGCAAAGTTACATAAACAAGTTTGCAGCTTTTAAAATTCATCTTGTCTTTCAGATGGCTCAGCTTCATCCATTATACTTCCCCACAATCGCTACACAATAAATTAATTCTTTCCAGTGTCTTCGATTGTCTCCCCTATGTTAGAGATATGATATTTGTATCAAAATAATTCATGTAATGTTATCCCCAAGTGGCAATAGCTTGGGAGGCCTGATAAATCAAAGGATAATTGTTTAGAAAATAGATCATTCAAAACACAAAGCACAGGACCTTTAGAATACTAACAATGACCATGGTAAAAACTCAAATAGAACAGTAAGAGTTTCTCTTTAAAAAATTGTGTTAATTAAATTATTCAATTTCATTAGTATAGGCAGATTGAATTCAAAGTATAGGCCAGTGGTTCTCAGCCCTTCCTGCACATTCAAATCATCTGAGAAGCTTTGTAAAAATAAAGCGTTTTCCCATCCCTCGTAAACACTGACTTAATTATCCTGGACCGAGTCTTGGACATCTCCATGTTTTAAAAGCCTCCCAGGTAGTTCAATTGTATGGCCAGAGTTGAGAATCTCTGCTATGGCTACAGGTGGACACTATCTGTTAATCATTAATTTTCACAAATATCATAGAAAAACCTCACAACAAAAAGAATTTGGTTACATTAATCATTCTCATTACATGATGGAATTTGAGGAGACTATTTGAAACATATGATCCTTATGTATTCTTGTGGTTAGTTATAGTTAGAAGTTTCTCCTTTCTCCTTTTTAGTACTTAAAATTTTTGAGTTATCTTTTGCTTACAAAGTTCAAAACAAACCTTGAATTTTCAGCCTCATTAAAATCAAGAAGAAAAGTCTTTAGATAACATGTAGTCACCACCCTATGGAATGTTCCACTAGGGCATTATAGATTTCTCCTCATCTTTAAAACTACATCTCTAATCCCATACTATTACCTCCTCCATTAAAAATGCCTCTTATTCATTCTTGAGTTCTTTTCTAACATCTTTCATTTTCTGTTTTGAGTAAATTCACTTATTCATTCATTTAGTCATTCATTCACTTCACACATACTTATTGGGAGTCTACTACACGCCAAGCACTGTGAAAGGGACTCAAGATTTAAATGGCCAACAGAAAAAGACACAGTTGTCCATTTCAGAGAATTTTCAGGTTAATGAGACAATGTCAATTAAATATCATCCAAGTGGCACTATGATAATTAGTGAAAGAAGAAGTTCACGGTGCTATGAGGATATACTATGAGAAATTTGAACTAATCAGGAAATTTGGGGAAAGCTTCTGAAGGAAGTATCAGTTAAATGAAACTGGAAGAATGAATAGGATTTAATGTATTGGGAAACTTTCAGGTATCACAGGATCTGAAAAAAGTATTAACTCATTTTAACATAATTGGGGAGCAGCCATGAGATCTGTGTATGTGAAGGGAACCCCCTGACAAAGAAGTTACATCAAAATTAATAGTATGTTTGGAGTTTATAATGCCACTAACTCTCTACTTTGTCTTATATTTTTGTGACGTTCAGCTACTTATCTGTCGATGCAACTCTGCAGCGGCTGGAATCACATTCCTTCTACAATTTGACTAAAGTGACTCACATGTAAGTACAATGAAGAGTGCAGCATAGACCCAAGCCACCACCACTACTGATGGATAATTTTGGGGTTCTGGAAGGCAATAACAGTCCAACTATGGGAAGACCATATGGATGGGCCTTAGATTACATGGAGGTGAAGAAGGCTCCAGCTGAGCCTAACCTTCTAATGGTCCCCAGACATAGAAGCACAACCATCTCAGACCTTCCATATTGATCCAGACACCAGCTAAATACCAGCCAGTGATCCCAGTGGATACCACCTGGATTCACCCAGTTTAGCACTGCCTCAAATCCTAATCCACAAAATTGGGAACTATCATAAAATGTTGTTGTTTTAGCCATTTATTTTGTGGTAAATTGATAGCCAGAAGAGGTGGCAATTATATGTCTGTTAATGATGGGTAAAAGACTTTGAGGATTTGTAAGAGAAAACTACAAGAATGGCAGGTTTCCCTATAAATTATTGAGGGTCCTAAGTGGATACAAATCAGTTCTCCTGGGTTTTAAACTTCAGCTGGGATACTGTTTGGACCCAAAAGTGTGCACCTGATAAAGATTTACACCTGTAAAATGACAAAACACTGACCACTTCCATCTTCTATTTCACTTTCTCTGTAAAGAAGCCAATAACATAGAGATGGTTTGTGTTGTTACTTTTATTAATAATAGCTACCAGGGCCAGCTGAGAGTTGGTTAAGAGTGTGAGCTCTGAGCAACAGGGTCACCAGTTTCATTCTCACATGGGCCAGTGAGCTGCACCCGAGCTTAGCTGCCACTGAGCTGCCAACAGGTGGCAGGATGGCTCAGCTGGTGAGAACACAGGCTCCTAACAACAAGGTTGCTGGTTCAACTCCCGCATGGGATGGTGGACTGTGCCCGCCCCCTGCAACTAAGATTGAACATGGCACCTTGAACTGAGCTGCAGTGAGCTGCCGATGGGTGGCCAGATGGCGACTGGACTTGGAGCTGAGCTAGCTGCACCCTCCACAACTAAGATTGAAGGACAACAATTTGGCTGTTCCCCTTCCCCAATTTCCCAACACTGTTCCCCTTCCTCAATTCCCCAATAAAATCTTTAAAATAATAATAATAATAATAATAATAGCTACCAATTACTGAATGCCTTTTAAGGGCAAGCACTCTGCTAAAAGTGCTTCACATACTCTGTCCTACTTAATCTCACTAAGCCTCAGTTTCCACTGTGTAAATGAAGATGATAATACACACATGACAGGGCGCTAGCCCAAGTTTACTCAACTAAGAAATTATAGTCAGAATTTGAAACCAAGCATGTCTGCTTCCAAAACCAATGCCAAACCATAATATCGCTTTAATTAAAAGCAGAAATAATTAAAGAAAATGCTGACCTCACAGGGATGTTTTTACTTTTATGTAGATTTTTGTTTTTTAAATCACGAGTAAATAAAATTTTTGAAACTTGGTAAGAAAATGTGTGATTTTGGGCAGGTAATGTGATAAGACTTAATTTCACCGATTCACTAAATTGAATCCAGTGGATTTACAGGAGGTTTCAAGAGTATCTATCTTAGTCCTGGTCATTGCATTACAATCATAGAAATAGCAATGTCTTCTGGGCAATTTGGAAAATCATCTTTATAATGTCCTTTTTCCAGTGGAAAATCTGCTGATAAACTTACATTTTTCTCAATCTGCTTCAAAAGTCTGAACATTTATAAACTCTACATGACTTAGCTTCTACTATTTTTAATTCCTCAGTAAATTAAAAGAGGAATCAAAATCATGACTATCACCTCTCTGTTACAGATTATTTTTCCCCAGTTACATAATGGAATGTTAGTAGTGAAATACTTCATTGATAATTATCAAAGTAGAATAATTAAGATTCCTTTTATTGAAAAGCCTTGATAATGTAGGAAATAATGTATTCTGTGAATTTAAAGGTTTTTACTGAAATGTGAGTGACTAGCCTAATTAAGTAGGTCTTTAAGAAACTAATTCTAAAAAAATGTGTATTTCATAATAAAAAATAATTTAATAAAAAAAAGTAGGTCTTTAAAAGCTAAGGATCTAATATATTCCAAGAACTTTGACAGACATCATACTTTTTGACCCAGTAATTCTACTTCTATAAATTTTCCCTACTAAAATAAACAGAGGAGTGAGAAAAAACTTACATAAAAAAGCCATTTGTCTCAGAGTTAACTTATAATAGCAAAAATTTGGAAATTACTCAAATGCTTAGCTAGGAGAATGGCTAACAGGAAATACTGAGCAACCGTTAGAAATCTGTTGTCATAGACTATTTAATCCCAGAGGAGATACTTTTGACATAATGATATTAAAAAAAACAAAAACAAAACAAAAAACCAAGGTATACCTACTTACAGAGAGAAAAAAAAACACATGATATTCTTTGGATCATGGAATGATGGGAGATTTCACATTTTTGATGTGAATGTGTTTAAAAAATTTTTATGCTGTATACATGTTATCTTTATAGTCAGTTGAAATAAACTTTTTAAAAGTTAAAGTTTCCTTCAATAGGCATTCATCTTGAAATTAACACTTGCTGTTAAAATACATGGGTGATTTATTATGTGATGAAAGCCTATCATAAAATGTTACTTTAAAATTAATTTACCTAATTCTCAATCACAGTTTTCACTTTAGTGCTGTACAGCATTTAAAGTATTTAAAATAATGCAGTTATGGCTTTGCCAGTATATCCACATCCTGTTGATAAAGTCGTTAAATAGTTTCTACTTCCCTGTATTTCCCAGAGGGCAGGGTAAAGTTGCACGTAATGGACGTCCAACAGCTATTCGTTTAATTTTAATGAATCTCTCCCCCTTGACTCACCAGAGCGAGCAGACCTAGTGAAAGTCAGAGTGGCCTGCCTCCCATTTTTCTGAACTACTGGCACTTAAAAGTGGACTAGAAAAAAACTGAAAATCAAAATGAAAGTAGAGTTAGTTAAAAAGAAGCTGGGGCTTGGCTGAGAGCTAGGTTTTTGGCTCATGTTCTCATTAGCTTCTCATTCATTCTAAACAATGTAATCTTACACATTATTGCATTTGTTTCTTAAAAGTCCAACTATGGGGCAGCTTCTGTTCTCTTCAGATGCCTCACTTTAACTTGGTCTCCTTGCCCTGCGCACGCATGTCTGAGGTTTTCTCCTCTCCCTTGGCCCCATCTAACTTTGCAGGTGAAAAGCCAACTCGGCTCCTTGACCGTCTTCAGTTTGTTTCCCCGCCTGTCACTTTTCACTTGTGGGCTGGGCATGTTCAGGGTGTGGGACAATATCTCTAAGGCCGAGAGGATCACAGTCAAATGCCATGATCTAATTTATGTCTGTGGAATAATTGAGGTGGGGAAGGGGACAGAGGACAATGGAAGAAAATCAGTAGTTGGAAAGTCCCTTAATTAGAAGGGTTTTAAGCCTTCCTTCCCCTCTTTTTGCCCCTCTCTTCCCGACCTGAGAACTCCCTTTTCTCACCTTGCTGATTTCCCATATTCTTTGGGTGTAGCCTGGGCTAAAGTGTCTGCCACTGGGTGGATGGTCAGGTCATCAGGGCAGCCCTTCCCCATGCAGTCACTCGGGCCAGAGGCACTGCCATCTTCAGCTTTGGTTCATACCCTGGAGGCATCTCCATTCCAACTCACTGTACTACAATTGCATACAGATTTTCTTTCCCTCAGCGTCCCAGCTCCCTGGCAATATAATTAGCCCTCCTGCATGCTTGGGCCATAATTGCTTAACCCAGGATTGTGTGATGCAAAATTCACCCTCTTAGGCATGCTTGGAACTCATTCAAATTTGGACTCTTCTTTCACCCTTCCCTTCCCTTCTTCTCAGAGGTGCTGTGGTACTTAACCTCTAGTCCTCCTTGCTTTCTACCTTTGAAAAGGTTCTAGCAGCTGCATTCACTTCTGACATTGTCTCCGTTTAGCTCAACTACTGGCAGTCCATGCCCCCCTCCCTTCCCTTCCTTCAGTAGAGGTTTTATTTTTCTAGCTTTATTGAGCTGTAATTAACATATAACACTGTAAGTTTAAGGTGTACAGTGCATTGATTTCGTACATTTATATACTGCGAAATGATTACCACCATAGCATTAGGTAACACCTCCATCCCCCTGTACCATTTCTTTTTTCTGAGAACATTTAAGATCTCCCTTAGCAACTTCCAAATATATAATACAGTATTATTAGCTATAGTCACCATGCTGCACATTAGGTCCCTAGAATTCCTTACTCTTATAACTGGAAGTTTGTACCCTTGGATCAGTATCTCTCCATTCCCCATCTCCCAGGCCCTGGTAACCACCACTCTACTCTCTATTTCTCTGAGTTCAGCTTTTTGTAGGTTCCCTATACAAGTGATATCACACAGAGCTTATCTTTCTCTCAGCATAGATTTTTTTTTTTAAAGTCACCAGCAAGCAAAGTCACTTGTCGAGCTGTCTTCTTACCTCAGAAAGCAGCTTCCTTTTCCTGGAGTTTTCTCGTGGTATCTTCTTGGTCATCTTTCCTTTAACGCTTACGTTTCCCCCCAGAAATCCATCTCTGGCGTCCCCCATCTCTCCTTGCAGCCTCTCCCACCTCTTCCTTCTCTTACAGTATCCACCCGCAGTGCCTCGTCTCCCTTTTATTCACCACCTCTAAAGCTCATTCAGATGGGCTGCACTTCATTTCATTATGTTAATTTTCTTGGGCCACTCACTGAAATCTGCTTGTTCAATGATAGTCTCTTAGGGAACAATTTTCCAGACTGCAAACCACACGTCATTTTCCAAACTCTCCAAATAGTTTACATTTGACTGTCTCTGACAGGAGTTTGAACACTCCTCCCCAAATGGAAAGCTCTGGCAAGGAGTTTACTCCTCACCACGCAGAGAGAAAGCACCACCTTTACTGCCTCATCGTCTCTGGGAAGGGCAGGGTGGGGTAGTTATGAGATTGTGCAGTAAGGTGGCCAACCGTCCTAGTTTGCCCGGGACAGAGGGCATTCCAGGGATACAGGACTTTTAGTTTCAAACCAGGACAAAATTTTAAACCTTGTTTAAAATGGGTCTTTCCATGCAGGGTCCTGGTTGGATAAAGATCATGATATGATAGTTTAGAATTAGTGGAAACAGCAAGGCAAAGATTTTGAGGTGTGGGGTTCTAAAAACCTTGGCATATAAACTGTGGTTGATGCTTTCTGTTGAAGCATTGAGAGGTCTTTCAAGAAGTTCCCATAATGAACAATAAAGTTACCTGCCTGGGCAAAAGTTATGTTAATGAAGGCAATGGGCCAGTAAGGTTATATTAATATAGAGTTTAGACAGTAAGCTGAGGTGGGGGAAAGGGTAGATGGCTTCTGTTCTCAGAGTTAATTCCATCCTCTCTTTTCCAAAGTCAGTTTCATACTCAACATCCTTAGTCAAATACCAAACCTAGTGTTTTGTTGTTGTTTTGATTTTACATTTTGTAGGAATATAGCAGCCCCTCCAACCCAAGTCCCTGATGTCTGCTCTAGCTTTCATTCCACTTAGGAGAAAAACAATAACAAAACTATCATTTTATAGAGTCTTCACATTGTGCTAGGTTACAGGTCAAACTCCTTATAGGTATTATAGGTATGAATCCTCACAAGATTCCTACGAAATAGGTGTCTCAAAGAGGTCAAGGGACTTGCCCAAGGTCACATAGCCAGAATTGGCAGAGCCTAGATTTGATCTCAGGTCCATCTGACTACAAGGCAATGAAAAGGAGCAAACTACTGATACCTGCTATGTGTGAATGATCCTCACAGACATTATGCTAAAGGCAAGAAGCCAGACATACACAGACTACATACATATTTATGATTCCATTTATATGAAATGTCCAGATGAGGGAAATGTCTAGATCAGACAGAAAGTAGATTAGTGGTTCCTAGGCATGGCAGAGGGGGTGGGAACTCACGCAGGTGGGTATATGGTTACTTTTGTCATTGATAGAAATACTCTAAAACTGGACTGTGATGATGTTTGCACAGTTCTGTAAATTTACCAGTAATCATCTAATTGTATACCTGCAATGCATGGATTTTATACAAATTCCCCTTCAATAAAATTATTAAAATTAAAATTCCAAAGGCCAGATCCTAAGTCTTCTAATTGTTACTGTCAACAACTAAATGTAGGTTCCCCTAGGAATCAAGAGTAGTGTGCCATCCCAGAGAGGAAAGGCTACAGGTCTTACTGGGTTCCTCTGTCTTCTTCCTATTAGCAGGGGAGATGCCTGGAAACCCTTTTAACCAATCTACATATGTTGAATATATTTAATTTTACCAATGAGAGCCTATTTCTAACAGTCACTAATTTCACCAGTGCTAACTGTGTATCTTGATTAGCATGTATATAAACATATCTACGTAAGTTACAGATATACATGATATCACATCACACATGCTGAACTGTCTTAAATTACTGACATAGAAAAATAAACCCAGGTCAACTGCTGAGACTCACCACATCCATTCCGCTGAAGGAGCAGCTGACGGAGACCGTCACTGTCCTATTGCCTCGCTGCCATCCATCAAATCCACTCAACCTCCCATTCCAGGGCCAGGATCCTCACTATTGTGAAAAATAAAGATTCCTGTCCTCCGCAAACCATTTGAGAGGCTTTCCTTTCCTATTTATTAAGGCCCTGAGATGGCAATTAGGAGAAAGGTTGTCCAGAAGTTCGAATGGACTGAAACGAAGTCAGTGACGTGAGAGGGCTGAACTATTGCATCCCTGTGAGGAGCCAGGAGACTTGGTTGCTAATGGGACAGTCTTTGGGGTGCCACAGAAATATGTATTCTTCTCATGGACATTTGTTAAACCTGATTTCTGTTGTTTTATCTTTGATAAAAAGCAGAAATAGATGTATTATGGTGAGTGTGCTCCTTGTGACTTTTCCAGAGACATTCGGAATGCCAAGAGCTTAGCTTACATAGACCCTGGTGCCCTGAAAGAGCTGCCTCTTCTGAAGTTCCTGTAAGTATTAACTGCTCGCCAATCCTTTTTTTTTTTTTCTAGAGAATTATAATGCTGTTGCCTGCCAGGAATCTCCCTGGGATGATGTGGGCCAGGATCATTTTAGTGGTGTAAGACCCAGAGCAAATCATACCCTGTGACTTACTCCCCACCCTTTCCCACGCCAGGTGAAATGATCCACATTTTAAAAAACCTTCTCAAAAGTCAGCACATAGTGCTGGGACCAGAGACCTGCTCCCAGAGACATGAGAGAGAAAATGCCATCATGTATATGTAGTCTTTAAATGGAGTATAACAGAATAAAACAAATCACTCTGACAGCCCACAGGTCAATTTTATTAGAAAATGGGTATCACAACAATATGAGAGTGACTGTTACACACACACCAAAAAAAAGCTACAAAAGGGAAAAATCCAATCTCTTGGAGGTTGAGGGGACAAAGAGGGAAGGAACAGCACTTACTGCTTTGCTTTGGTGACATCTTAACCATAACCTCCATGCGACCAGGGACCACAACAATTTTGTTCTCTATGGCAACTTTATTGACTAGCACAGAGTGGGTGCTCCACAGAAATGTGTTTAGTGGATGTGTATGTATAGCCTCAGGTCCTCTAGGCATCAGCTGGAAGAACCCTTCCCTTCTTTCCTTCTTTCCTACTCACATGCATCGTAAGAGGTTAGAACACAAAAACATTATGAGGGGGAAAAAAAATCAACCTTAACCCCAATACCGAAGAATGATCACTTTTGACATAGTTCATTTCCACCTGGAGATGTTAAATAAAAGTATATATGCATATATATTTCATGAAATAAGTCTTTAATGTGGAATAGAAGTTATCCAGGGAAAGAAGTGGTTTGGGGTGGAAGAAAAATACAAGTGGATGGAAGAGTGTGGCAAAGACATAAAGGTGTGGAACCACATGGCTTATTTGGGAAACTAAGAATAGTTCAGCATTGAAGAGGTAGGAGTGAGAGATGCAGGGAGAACAGCAGAGGATACTGATGGGTTATGTGGCTGAAGGGGTACATGGGGAGTAATAAAAACTTATGGGACAAGGCCATCACTCCTGCATGGACTTTGCATTTCAGTCAATCAATAACTCTTTAATATAATGATCCCCTACTATGTGCAAGGCTCTGTGGGGAACACATAGGATAATAAAACATTGTCCTTGCCTTCAAGTAGCTTACAATGTAATTGGGGAAGATACTATATATGAAATTGAAAAGTTCCTCTTGTACCGCAGAATAATCATAAGTGACAAATGACAGGTGCACATTACTTGGGGGTACAGGTAACTAGAGGAGAAGTCAAAAATGAGATGAACTTGTTTGAGGTTTTGAAGGATAGAGAGGTCCTGGTCAAAGTCCCTACTCTGGCATTTTCAGCCCTTTCCTATATGGTTCCCACTTAAGTCTTGGGCCTCCCCACACCCCCCGCCCCCACGACCACCCCATTCTTCCATATAAACAGCTATAGCAATTGAACTACTTTTTTTTTTTTTTTACTGTTCTTCAAATATGCCTTATGGGATCTCATCTCTCTCCTTTGTTATCTGCAATGTCCCATTTGCTTTTTTGAGATCTCTGGCTCCCACTTCCGCTTCAAGGCCCATGCCTTCCCTGCTGCAGGGAGTGAGGTCAGAATTTGCCTTAGACGGTACACCCGTGGAACGAGAGTTTTTTCTACTGGCAGACTGTCTCTAAGGCTTTACTGGTGGTGTCTAGGTCTCACACCAGGCCATGCCAAACCTCTCAAAATTTTTTTTAAAAATCTCTCCTTCCACTACCTGCATTCTAGTAGCTGCAACAAATGTTAAAACAACTAAATCTGGCAGGTATCAGGAGCCTGAGAGGTCTTTTTATTCAGGCTGTTCTGTGCACATCTTTTAATCTTGACATTTTGCCACAAACTCTGGACAGTGAAGACATTTTGACTGGTGTCCTTCCTTGCCTGGACATGTTTTTTAGATGGTACTGCTGCCATGTACTCCATGGGAAAACAATTCTTGGCAAAATAATGAACACAGTATAATGTAGAGTTAGAAAGCGGAAGCTTGGCTGGGAGTTGGGTAATTATTGTCTTCCTGCCTCATCCTCTCCTTATTTTAGAGCAAGAGAGAGAGAGAAAGGAACTTGAATTTCTAGGAATCCTACTTGGTTCAAACAATCCCCAGAATCTTCTGAAGAGAAAAGATGTTTTGACACTGGTGGGCTGGATTTGATACTTGCACCTGAAGGGAACGCCATCCCATCCAAGTGTTAGAATATGCCCATGGTCACTCAGATACTTAGTGGGGGAGTTAGGATTTGACTCCAGTCTGAACACATGCTTTCAGCTATTACATTAGTCTAATTGCTGTGTGCTAATTTTCTTACCAAATTCCTGTTCTTTTTTTCCTTCTTTTTCATTACTTTAGCGGCATTGTCAACACTGGCCTTAGAGTATTCCCTGACCTGACCAAAGTTTATTCCACTTATGTATTCTTTATACTGTAAGTATGCACACAGGCAATGTTTGGCAATGTTTTAGTTGTCAGTTACAAGGAAGAGGGTGCAGCCATGAGGGCTGGCTGAAGCCAAGTGAAGCAATTATTTCAAGAAGGGAACAATGACCAGCTGTGACAAATGCACTGATGGGTGAAAGAAGGCAAGGACTGAGAAATGGCCATTGGGTTTATCAACGTGGGGCATTGGTGTTGCTGCAAGGACAGTTCCAGTGGAGCGCTGTTGGTGGAGAAGTCTGGTTAGCATGTGCTAAAGAGAGAATCAGAGTGGGAGAATCAGAGAGAGTGGTCATAACAAACTCTTTTGAGAGGTTTTACTGTTTAAAGGGAGCAGAAAATGTCTCCATAATTAGAGGATAATGGGTCAGGAGAAAAGGTTTTTTGTGTTTTTTATTTAATGGGAGAAATTATGGCATGTTTGTTTCCTAATAGGAATGATTAAATAGAAGGAAAATTTGATGATAATGATACTTTATTTTTCCCATAGTTTTTAATTGCTTTTCAAACACTTTCTCATGCATTATCAAGTTTGCTCCTCTCAACCACCCAATAAGGCATAAAAGGAAGTCATAATTTTTCCAATCTACAAACGAGGAAACTGAGGAATAGAAAACCTAAGTGTTGCTTGTCTGAGCAGAGTCCCAAGGAGCCGTCACTAGTGGTGCTCAAACTACTTCCTGTGACTTCTGATTGGTGGCCATGTGCTCTGTCCCAAAACCCATGACACAGTCAAATGTATTACCTAGTTGTACAGAAGTGAAAAGACACATGCAGAGAGAGTTACAAGTTGCTTTTGCACTACAGAGTCAGCAAAACGTGGAGTGATAGGACCCACTCTTGGGATTTTGCTAGGAAAAAGATTGACCATGCTTCTTCGCTGCAGAAGATCGCAGTTTAAAATATAGGTAGTCTTCCAGCAACTAGATTGGCACAGAAATGTTCTCCAGGGACATCTGCCTGGAAGTGTTTTGCAAGTGGAGTGCACTTTAGAAATACTCATGAAATGAAACCCTTTGATCCTGTTCTACCAACCATTTTTAGAGGTTCCATATAACACACACACACACACACAAAACCTCTAGTTGCTGTGGACAAAGTATTTGTCACAGATTCACAAGAAGTCTCTGAGACCTACCTGCTCTCCTTGCTGATAAAGATTAAATCAGGGACCTCAGCCCACACCCAAAGCTCTCTCACTTACTGTACATTTGGGGGTGATAAGACTATGTCCACCTAGGATAGTTCTCACCACCTCACTGGACCTCTGAGCCACCAGCTAAGAAAGGTTAATGAAACTTAAAAAGAAATAAGATTCAAATGAATTGTGTCAGGTTATTTATTTAAGTGCATATTTGCAGTAAGAGCCCAGCACCAGAATGCATTTTTTTCACTACAGGTTTTTCTTCCTCTCTTGCAGTGAAATCATAGACAACCTTTACATGACTTCAATCCCTGCAAATGCTTTTCAGGGACTGTGCAATGAAACCATGACACTGTGAGTATTGTTATAATTTTTCCATTTTACAAATGCTGACAACTGAATTTTTATTTGGGCCATTGATATATTTTCACAGGCCATACTCCATTATAGTATATGCTCTGTGGGCTACCAAGGGTTTTACATAATTAAATAAAAGTACCATAGCTTATGGTATGGTACTATATAGATGACAAAATGGTTTAGGTAACAAGACTAGTGTATTCCCTTATAGAAATGGTCAACATACTTTTTCTGCAAAGGGCAATTTAGGTTCTACAGACCACATGGCCTTTGTGGCAACTGCTCAACTCTGCCATTGTAGGGAAAACACGGCCATACACAATACATAAACTAATGAGTGTGGCTATATTCCAGTAAAGTTTTATTTACAAAAACAGGCAGTGGGCCAGATGTGGTCTGCAGGCCTTCTAGTATCTCCATTGTACAGAGGAAGAATCCAGCATTAAAGCAAATTGAACTGACTTTCCCAAGGTCGCTGAGTTAGAAAATGGTGTCACTAAGGGCTTTTCATACTCTCTGCACTCACACTTTAACTCTGTCATCACGAGCTATTGTTAAGCTCTTATAAAGGGATATTGAATAGAAAATATAGTGCTGCTCAACGTCACTTTTTCAGAGTTTGAATGGTTCCTGCTCTTTAGATGTTCAAAAGGGGATGTTTATCAGGGAAGTTCACAAAATATTCTAAAGAAGAAGATCTAATAGAAGCATTAAAGATAAGTTTACTCTCCAAGCTGGTAGAGAATTCCCCGTTCTCATAGAATTAGCCACAAAGTAGAGTTGGGACCACATTCCAAGGGTCTCTTCTCTCTAGTTTCAGTAGCACTGCCCAAGTTCAGGTGTGGTGGGGTTTTTTGCCTGTATTGTCACCCAGCTCCCTCTCTCTGGTCACATTGCAGTCCTGGAGTTCTTTATCATACCAACAAAAGTGATTCAAGCTTCCACTCAACTCTTCTAAGAGGCTGTCTTCAAGCCATTCTAAGTCTATCAATTCAGGCCCCATGACACTATTTCAACCTCTGTGACTCTATCCACAGTGAAGCATTTCAGTTCATCTTTCTCCTTGAAACATGGGAGAGCTCTGACAGCACAGCCGAGACCTAGGGTCTTAGCTGGCTCCGCCCCAAACATCCTCTGTAAAGGTTTTCATTGTGCCATTTACCGCTCATCACATGAAAATCCCATTCAATTTCTCTACAGAAATGTTACCTTCACCTTTTGGCATTTATTTTCCTAAGGACCCATTTCCCAAGCAGTCCTCTCAAGTGAAAACTGCTCATTATCCTATACTTAGCATGGGGCCCAGTAGGCATTTGATAAACATCTAAATGAGGGCCTCGTATTTCCTGAAATGTAGAGGTGGAAATGGCATGGGTTGTCCATTATCTTTTTAGATGACTATTTCTACATTCCTGCAAAAGTCCTTGCTTCTTTGAAGCTCATGCTTAAAAAATTATAAACATGAAAGGGTATGTGTCCAACAGCAGTTTTTACCCATGTTCCTGGTAGAATAGTTTTAATCAAAGTTTATATTTTTTTCTTTCTTTACTATTTTCCCTTTTTATGTGCAACTTGTCTAATAAGAGTTTTATTTAATCTCTGAAATGTAAGTCCAACAAAGAACATTTTTATTGTCTAGGACTCTCAACAAATTTTGGAAAAATAGAAATGCCCAATAGATAATTCTCACATCTTCATAAAAATACTCTAGTTCACACACACACACACACACACACACACACACACACACAAATAAATAATAACTACCATGCTCCCTCAGCCTCTGTCTAGCATCCCTGTGCACTGCAGTCTTCACCCAGGACACCTAAGTAGTGAAAATTAAACACATTGTGTAATTATTTTAAAAACAAACAAACAAAGATGACTGCCCAGTTCTCTGCAACTACACAAGATAAATCCAAGTTTTCAGGGCACTTCTTTAACATGGCCATTACATAAGTGTTCCTCACTGTGTTAAATAGATTGCTATTTCATTCTTTCAGCAGCCTTTTGATTAGGTAGTGTTATATTTTTACAGATAAAGAAAGTGAGGACAATAGAGGGTGAGAAATTTTCAGGGTCACCTACTAGGAAGTGACAGAGCCAGGTCTAATTCCAAATTTGGAGTCTCTTTTTATGCTTCTTACTGTGCTACTCAGTAGTGTTCAGAGTCCCCTACCATTGTCACCAGCTGTGCCTGATTGTGGTCATGCTGCCTTCTCTTATCTCATGCCAAAAGCTCCCAATACCTCCCATGCATCCCCTTGGGGACCAGAGTTCCCACAGCTGGGGCTCCTGCACAAATGGTGTGTGCTTTTGGTGAGTGAGAAGGATCACTTTGGTGGTCAGACATCCCAATTTGTGACAGCTCTGCATCAATGTGGTTTTGGCAAAACACCTCCATGTCTCAGTCATTTAACTAGGTAATAGAGGTGATAACTTCAGGCCAGCCTCTGGAATCACTGTATGAGTTAATTGGTTGCAGAAACATAGCAACAAATGAAAACTTGCACAAAGGGCATGGTCTATCTACTTTCTTTTTTTTTAAAAGATTTTTATTGGGGAATTGGGGGAGGGGAACAGCGCTGAGGAATTGGGGGAAGGGGAACAGACAAGTTGCTGTCTTTTTGTTCTTCAGTCTAGTTGTGGAGGACGTTGCTTCACTGGCTCAAGTTGGTACCATCATTGCGCTCTTCCCGGGTGAGGCAGATCAGTCGCCGGCTTGTGGACGGCTGCTCACTGCGGCTGCTCACTGCGGCTGCTCACTGCGGCTGCTGGCTACACACGGTAGCCCATGGCAACCCACTGCAGCAGGGGCTGCAGCCTATGCCGTCGCCGGCAACTCACGGCAGCCCAGCTCCAGGTTGAGCTGTTGTTCAGCATCTTAGCTCTGGAGGGCAGTGTCACTGGCCCTCATATGTGGGATCCGAACCGGGGCCCTCTGGCGTCCCAAGCCAGCTCTTAACCAACACGCCACTCGGCCGGTCCTGTACTTTCTTAAATTTACCTTCGAACTTCAATATCATTCAGCCCACAACATTAAGCCTTTAATCTATGATAAGCTCTGAAAATAAAATATGGATAAAATACAAATGTGAAATAGCATTTTAAATAGAAAAATATAAAACCTATGCATTTAGATCAGCGGTTCTCAACCTGTGAGTCGCAACCTCTTTGGGGGTCGAATGACCCTTTCACAGGGGTTGCCTAAGACCAGCGGAAAACAAAACGATATTTACATTACAATTCATAACAGTGGCAAAATTACAGTTATAGAGTAGCAACGAAAATAATTTTATGGTTGGGGGTCACCACAATGTGAGGAACTGTATTAAGGGGTCACGGCATTAGGAAGGTTGAGAACCGCTGATTTAGATGAATAATGTCTTTAAAAGTATTCAAAGTGTTCATCTAAAGAAGCTGCGGTTATTCCTCCATTATTGACATTGGGTTAACTATTTTTTTGAGTAAATGTGAGACACTTTTTGAGAAGTGCTTAAAGGTAGCAAATCTTTGTTCCTCATAGTAAATCTGCTCCTGAGAAACAGCTTAAAATTACTAGAAGCTAAGTCTGGAGAATGGAGACTCAAACTGGGAAATATTATTCTATGTCCCAAACAAAACATACTATAAAGTTTTCTTGTGGGGCTCATATGTGGGACCTGAGAACCTTCACGCACATTTCTGATACTAAATAAATGAAGCTCAACCTCAGAAGCGGACCAGCACCACCTCTTATAGGTCACTGATTTCTCCCCTCTCTGTTGATTGTAGGAAATTATACAACAATGGCTTTACATCAATCCAAGGACATGCTTTCAATGGGACAAAGCTGGATGCTGTGTAAGTCAAGGATAGCCATGGAAACGGCTGTCTTCCCCCATACTCCCACCCCCAAGAAGGACTGTTCAATGGGTCAGACTTCTTCTAGAGACGGTTTCTACCAGAGCATTTCTCAACCACAGAGTTAGTATGACCAAGACTTGGGGATTATGTTAAGGAACTTGGCAAGAGCCAGCATTAGTGGACACTTATATTGATTCCAATTCTAAATTCCAAAGCTCTTATCCTTGATAAAATCGAGAACAATGGTGTCACATTAAGTTATCTTGTAGGAGAGTGTGTGTGTCTATTATGTTCATGAAGTAAAGGAGTATCTGTAATTAAGTCCAAAGCTTTTCAGAAAGTAAAGTTTTTCTTTTAGTTCTTTTTTGACATGTTTTCAGGAAAGGTGTCAGTTTGTACTTGATTCACTCCAAAACAGCTGAAAAGCCACATCCAACTTTTGCCTTTCCCTCAAATAAATAATGCCTACAATAGAATGTTGGCAAAAGATAGACATTGACATGGGTTTCTGTCTTTGTTGTACTTTGCTATCAGGTCTTTGTGGTCCCCAGTATCTATGCCAGGGCATACTATGTGTCTAAGAGCATGTAGACTGGTTCCGCAGTACTGGTGTGTGTATCAACCTAATATCTAACAGATAAAAAATAGCTTCCATATAGCCTTCTTCCCACGGTATGGTAGACTAGTTAATTAGTAGGACTCTCCTACTACAAAACATCTAGATCATACATTTAAAGCACAACAACAAACATTTACTTTCATAGCTCCAAGAGAGGGAAATAAAATAAACTAACAAACCAGGAGCTGAAACCAAAGTGGTGAGGGCTCCCACAGGGCACAGTTCCCTAAGGGGTAGCTGCCAGCATCAGTACTGCCAGGAGACTAGGCTATAGTACAGTGAGAAGGCAGAGGACATGATACACAGCTGAGACTCCTGGATTAAGCTAGGGAACCTGAACAAGAGCTGGCATAGTGTCACACAAATAGCTCCTAACTCTTAGCAGAAATAAATGCAAATCCCAATGCGGGCTCCCAGGTTTTTTTTTAAAGATTAAGATCAATCAAATATGAGCTCAGAGTCAAAAATCACACATAGGAGAAGAAAAAACCATCATGGGTAAGAATCAGCTGAAGCAACAAACAACCGATTTTTGTGTTTGATTTGTTTCATAACACTTCATTGAACATTTCGTAACAATTATATATTTTCAATTCCAGAAGTTTTATTTGCTTTTTGACACTCTTGTTGCTTACTCATTTTTGTGATTCTTCTTTCTTTTTTTTTTTTTAATTGTTGATACAAAGATGAACAAGAACAGTAAGTTCCCTGCCCACACTGAACACACATTCTGGTGGGGTCAACTCGAGGGCAGCAATGCAAGAGTCAAAGTTCATGAAGGAGAAATGTACCCAAACCCAATTATGCATTTCAGATTAAAAATAACTGAACACTAAATATTGAATAGCACTGGCCTCCTTGCTTGGAGATATAAGTATGATTTTCACTAGATTTTTTAAATTATTAGCATTCGATTTTGATATTACATGAATCTAAGCAAACATCTTCCTCTTAGATTCAACTATTCCTAAAAATCCCTGACTCATAGGAAAATGATCCTCCTGGGTCAAATTTTCTATGAATGAGGTGAGGTATTGGGACGCCTTAAAATAATTATGACAATTTATAGATACCTAGGGTATAAAGATTTCAGAAGACTGTCATGCTGTACTAGACACTGAGAACAACAAGAGATTATCATTAGGGCAACAGAGAACCACATTAGCAAGGGCAGAGGTAGGAATAGTGAAGAAACATTCAACCAAAGCTGACAATAAGGTTCCTGAATTCAGTGGGTCCAGCTGACTCTTGCCTAAACCAAAACTGCCTAAAACAGAAACCATCCTTGGATATAGGTGAATTCATTTCTAAAACTTTTGTTTTTCCAAAAGCAAAGGATTTTAAAGCCCAAGATTAGGGTCTAGGCTTTAAATCGTTTCTTTATCCTGCCATATTTAGTCATTGGAAGGTATCACCCTCAATCATTCTCAGTTATCATTTTTTAAGGACAAAGATTTGGGGTATAAAATTCAGACTTTAAGGTCTACAGAGCAATGGTTCTCAATATTGGCTGCAAACCTGAATCACCTGAAGAGATTTGGACACACCTATGCCTACATTTTACCACCAGCCATTCTGGTTTGTTCAGTCTAGGTGTCGCCAGGGCTTTGGGGATTTAGAAATCTCCCTCAGTATGCCCTATGTAAAGCAAACCCCAAGAACTGCTGCTATAGGATCCTTATATCTGGCCCAGTAGTCACATTTTACACATGAAGCCCAAAATGAATATGTGTGGTTCGCGCGTGTGTGTGTGTGTGTGTGTGTGTGTGTGTGTGTGTGTGTGTGTGTGTTTTAACACAGCTCTTTAAATTTGATAGAGCTGTCTAGTGGTCAAGCCAAAACCAAAACTTGGATCGCCTGGTGTAAGACTCTTCCCTGTGTCCTGCTGGGATTCATCGTAGCTGACCTAGCAGCCACCCCCAAGGCCGGGACACCCAATCTCTCTGGCCCCTTGTTTCTTAGCCCAGGAGAATGTTTAGGCTTCTTAGCTCAGTCCACTAAAGGCATGAAATACAGAAGCTAAAATACCTTGCAGCTGGGAAGAGTGGGCTCATATGAGAGAAAAGAAGCCACTCTAGATTCAAGGCACAGTCGGTAAAAGCTTCAGAAAACAGTCACACTGAGCAGCAGTGTCATTAGCCAGTGAGAACCTGGCTTTACTAATGCAGCAAAGTCACCAACTCAATAAGCGTTCAGATCAGGGCTTTCAATTTTGATGAAAAGGTCGGCATGGCAAAATGTTACTGAATTCAAAGGATTGGGGATGAAGTGGGGCCATGTATATTGACCATTTTGCTTCAAAACATCTCATACCTATTATAATTGGACTCTTGGTCCTGTTTAAAGGACTCCACAAACACTTCAAGAGGCTTTCAAAATGAATCTTCTATAATTAGGAGACTCTGCTGGTACTAAGTGGATCTCAGCGTAAGTCTAGTTGCCTATTACTTTATGGCTTTGGACATAAAATCAGCTGCAGAATATCAAAGGAGTTTAGAGATATTTTCTATTAAAAAGAGAAAAACTAACAAGGAAACAAAAATTTCTGTCCCAGATATGAGAAGAGATGGGGTGGGAAGGGAAAGTTCCTTAAACTTTCTTTCCATGGTAAATGAATGTGTGTTCCTTTTAAAAAGCTATTCATGACCTTAAAAGTTAGAATATCCAGGTGGACTTCTCTGGTCCTTTAATAGAACAATCTGAATTACTAGTATTCGAGAGGGGTTATAGCATGCAGAATTTCCCAAGGAGCTCTTGTACCAGGAACATCTCTCTGGACTGGTATTTCACAGGACACCTTTGGGGAAATGCTACTCAAGAGGATTCTTTTGATATACCACCCTGTGAGGCAGGTAAATTTAACAAGGTTTACTCTAGAGGTAACCTGTGTAGAATCTAAGACCTCATAAGAGTTTTAGATCATCTGGTGGTCTTCAGAAATGAAACCTATGAAGAGATTATATAGGGAGACTCGTTCAACATTCCCACCAGCTTTCTCCTCAGACTGTATCACGGGCTCTGTGAGAGCTTGGCTGATGGCAGAGACTTATTCTATTGGAGACAATGGATTTTAATTCACTGGTTTCTTGAATTACAGTTTATTTTAGTCATTGTAACTATACCTTGAAACACAGGGAAAAAATCAGTGTACCATTTTCACCTTACTTTCTTGGCATTGTTATGTAAGATATTAAAGTTATTTGAAGAAGTATAATAAATGTGGGGAATATTTCTTCATTAAGGATAATGTGTTTCTTGATATTTAAAAGTCTAGAACAGAGATCAACAACCTTTTTCTGGAAAGGGCCAGAGAGCAATTATTTTGGGCTTTGTGAGCCATATGATCTCAGTTGCAGCGACTCAGCTCTTCCATTGTAGTGTGAGAGCAGCCACAGACAGTACATAAGAAATGAGTGCGGCTGTGTTCCAATAAAACTTTATTTAGAAAAACAGTCAGCAAACAGGAATTGACTGGATGGCCATAATTTGTGAACCTCTTGTCTAGATGAAGATATTCAGCGAGGATGACCATTGTGTGATAAAATGTGTAGTCTATTTCTCCCAATTCCTGGTAAAGGTTAATGAGCAAGCATGGGATAAAGATAAGAAGTATCTGAACAAAAACATTTTTGGGTTTGAAAGTTCAGATTCAATCATAATAGAAAACAAAGATCTTTTTTTTTTCCAGTCAATATTTTGAATCCAAACTTGAAACTCTGCTCCTGTTATAAAACAATATTTATCTGTTCATCATTCTACCCTAAGTTTGTGACTCCTAGTTAATATAAACTTATTTTTTCTTAGCTTTAAGCACTTCATTAAAAGGTATCATGTAAATCCAAGGTAAAATTAGGATGATGGTGATAAGGAGGCCTGGAACTAGAGGAAGATAAGGGTTGAACTACAGATGGAGAAAACAGAGGCCATTTTCCACAGTAATAATGAAACAGCATTCACTGATTGTGACATAGGAGTGATGCCTCTGGTCTCAATGCTAATTGTAATTTTAAACTAATGGAAACACATCAGTATCCTAGAATTACCCTAATAGCGTTAAAAGATTTCACAAAGCATCTTAACAATCTGGTAAATTCTCCAAAAGTGTGTTCAAATATCTTTAGGTTCAAATTTAAACAAAATATCATCCAAAAGAACAATTATTCCCCATCATCCACATCATGTCAATTTACTGAAATAAGCAGATTTGACCTCATTTAGATGCTCTTTTGTTAGTATAACTGAAGAAGACGATTGCAGCCAAGTTGGACAAATTCCACATTGAGAACAAGCACTGATGCCTCCGCAGCAGTTGGGTAATTAGTTAAAAGTTCACAAAAATTATGGCAGATGTGTAAAAGCACATGGTCCTGTGATTTCA